CATTCTTGGTCCGGTTGACAGTTTTGATATGGTGAGCAGATTCTTGCAGGCTGCAACTCAAAAGTATATCCTTCACATCAGGGGACTCAAGTCCCTTTACTATTAGCAATTTAACACCGTTTTTAAAAAAGTAACAACCGTCCTTATGCGTTTCTGATCACTGCTTTCATATTGAATTCTCTGAAGGCCAAAGTTGAAAGCTTGCATGACCCAGTCAAGAACTAAATTTACAAAGTAACAACCACTTTCTTTGCCGAAACTCCCTTCCTTTGAATATCCAATGCTTTCTGAAGGTCCTCCAATCCGTGACCTACAACATACGGCTCAGGTTTTGCTTGCAACTTTCCGTTTGCCAAGCCTTCTGGTACAAACTTCTTCCAAACAGCTTCTCCAACATATTGATTTGGTTCCTGAATAATCGTAAAAGCGGTGACTAAAAGACAGAAAATCAAAAGGTAATCGGGAAAATGCTCTTCAAGAAGAAACAAGGTGCCAATACGTACCATACTTGGGCGAGAAATTTTCCGTAGGCTTGTCATATGGAAGTACACTTGCAACCTTGGGAAACACATCTAGACTCTCCAGAATCTTTTGTACGGTTTCGAAGCTCCTGGTCTCGGAAATAGCGTCGAAGACTCCAGCGATTTGGCTACCGCGAAGTGCGTTTGCTACTTCATCTACTACGTTGGGGGACTTGTAGTCAATCGCGGTTTGTGCGCCAATTGATTTGACAAAGTCTTTGTTTTGAGAGGAGGTGGTGGTAATGACTTTCAATCCTGCGGCGACGGCAAGTTGAATGGCGGTAGCTCCGACGGAAGACGTTCCTCCCCATATAAGGATTGTGTCTTTGTTGTCTGTTTCGATTTTGTCGGTGGCGGAAGGGAGAGGGAGGTTTAGAGTATCTTTCTGGAAAAGACCTGCTGATGCCGTGGAAATAGCCAATGGAAGTACTGCTCCTTCTGCGAAAGAGAGAGAGTCGGGGAGTGCTGAAGTGAGCTTTTCCGTGACGAGAGTGTAGTTTTGGAAAGCGGAGCTGGAGGGATCGCGAGTCATTAGGGCGTGGCAATGCCTATGTGTATTTTGTTAGGTTTCATGATACGTTGTGCACCGAATTTGGCTGGATTTGATATTTGAGAGTTTCTGGAGTGATTTACATACGCAATGACCCGTTGATCTTTCTGGAAACCTACAACACCTTCGCCGACAGCTTCAACTGTACCGGCAGCATCTTCTCCTAGGATGAATGGATATTTGTTCAGATAGCGACCATGATCCCTATATTTTATTAGAAGTCTTCATACTTCACAATCTGGCCACTTGGCATAACGAGCTTACTGTATCTTCCAATCGACAGGATTCTGCTCATCAAATAATTATTAGTGATGGAATCTATACATCTACGCCGAAAGAAGATTGTGATAACATACGATAGCCACAACCGCATTCTTAATAACCAGCTCTCCCGGGCCAGGACGAGGTATAGGGGAATCGTCAATAGCCAACGGGTGTGCGCCAGAAGTCTTAATCCATGCTGCTTTATTTTGAGCCATGTTTATGAAGGTTGAGGAAATTGAGATGAAAGGGATTTTGAAGCGTCGAAATTTCTTGATGATGTGATGAGTATCTAGGTATGCAAAGACACGAAGGAAAGAATTGAACGACAATCTTCGTTATTTATATCGTGAAAATCCATCACTTCTGCAATACTTTTGCTTTCATCTTATCACTATTTGATTACTAAAAATTGACACTTCGACTAGTCTTTTGAACTTTGTGATGTGTATAGGTATCTTGAATTCTAGAACACCGCATGAAGTGCTTCATGTGTGCGTAACTGTGATGCTTCATCATCAGATATTGCAAGAAAGCATGGAGTTATGTCGCGCGGAGGTTAAACCTTAACCCCTCGCTAAAATAAGAAGCAAAGCCTAGGTACCTAGTTGTCAGTCAATTGCATTAGCTTAAACCTTATTGATACGACTCCACATTTGTTCTCCATATTCTTATAATGAAACTTCAAAGATCATACTCGTATAATTTGCAATTGATCGTTTTGGAGAAATGGCGTCACTTTCGAGAAAATATCTCAAGTAGCGACTGGTATTTTCTTCTGGGACATAAGTTTCTTGGATTTCGTTTAATTGAATAATCGAAATACTCCTCCTATTAGCGATCATACGTAGCCAACCACAGCTCAAACATGCTAAACCAATATCACCTATCAGTGTAAGGAGAAAACTAAACTTCTTTTACATGTCACGATAAGGCGTATGGAGTAACTTTAATACATTGTTCGAATGATACGAGTAACGGTCCTATGCCGTACGCTTGAGAAATAGTGAGTGCACGTGGGGTGAGATCCACAGACCTCAAGCTAATTAGGCCTTGAGCGAATCATGAGCTTTGGGCACTTCCCATGATTTCGATCTCTGTGATTTTTCGCTATCTATGGGCCGTGCCTTGAGACCCTTTTACCGCCATTTGTAATGCTTCGTACCTCAGTAGTCAGTTCTAACCTCATACAGCGTACCAGGCAAACTCAAAAGTGGTCAGGCTAGTGTATAAGTCAGTGACTTGCAGAATATTTAATCAATTCTGAAGCCTTGCAGAACTACTCTCCATTCACATTATTCACAGAAATCGGGGTTTGGACTACAATCTGACAGGAGTGAAGAAGTCAGTCGCATACATATGATACGACTCATAATATGGAGCAAAATCTCATTCCTTTGCAGCTTATGCCTCATCAAAATGGCATGTTATCATTTGAGGAGGATTGGACGGGTGTAACTGACAAACGCCGACGAAAAAAAGATGCAAGATCGGTTGAATCAGAGAATCACGAGTGAGATTTCTTCACTATCCGGTCTTTGCGTGTAGGCTAATGCGGTGGTAATTTACAGGAAAGCGGAAGCTTCTGAAATCTAAAGTACAAAAGAAAGAGGGGCAGTACCAACTCCACAATGGAGATTCCGATCTAATCCCTACTCAACTACCACGGCAATTCACCTTCTCGCATGGTAATTATCAAGCCCCCGAATTGTACAGAACTACTGCACAACAAACAAGCCCACGGCAAATTCTTCCACACACAGATTCAACTGATATTGAAGACATCGACTCTATCCAAGCATGTCGACCCGACTCTCGGGAAACACAATCCTTCCTCTTACATTTCTCCACCCGTGCCTACCATAATTACCTCCATTCATCCCCGTCCTCGGATAACGCAATGATGTTGATCCAATTTAACACCACCCGAGCTTTCATAGCCAACGCCCAAACTCTCGGTCTAACAACTTCCTCTATGGCCCGAACAGCATGCTCTCGATTATTTGTGGATCTCACAGCAGGAAACACATCCTTTACTCTTGATCTGTCTTCGTTGCCCTTATCTCTTCACCCGACACACCTTCAACGTGAGATTCCTCATCATCCATGGATAGATCTCTTACCGATTCCTCAGCTACGCGATAATTTATTGCGGAGGAATAATCAATTTGATGAAGTTGAGCTATGCCGAGAAATGAGAGGAGTCAAGAGTGCGAAGTTGGGGAGAAGAAATGGGATTATCGTATGGCGAGATCCATGGAATGAGAGCGGTTGGGAGGTTACAGAAACTTTTGCTAGAAATTGGGCGTGGGTTATTAGGGGCTGTGAGGGATTATTTAGGTCGACGGATCATTGGAGGAGCTTGAGGGGGGAGAAACCGCTCTTTTTGAGGACTGGGAATCCGAGGGAGAAGTATTGTAGAGTGACTGAAGAAGTCTCTTGATCTGTGTAGGAGATGGTGATCTCACTGCAGCAAGGTCTCTTTTTCAGGAGTGGTGTTTTGAGATGGTATAGCGTGGTTTGAAGGGATCATGTTTAAAGACCTTTCTCCGCTATCTTTACCAACTACTGACAGCGATAAAACTATCTGTGGACGCACTTGACCTTTTTATTCTGTCCTAAAAGGTTCCGCCTGTCACTGCAGCGCTCGACGATGTGGTATACTCCTCTAGATGTTCGGGACATTTGCGCGGCATACCATGTCCTTGCGACTCATGAAATATTTACACACGAGAAACTCATGACGAGGTCAGAGTACCACTAAAATCTATATAACCATGGATGATGTTCCTCATACGAGCAGACGCTACACAAAGCGCTAATACACTCGTGGGTGTGTTTAATCAGACCCGAAAGCCCACGATGATACCCGAGGTCTAGACGGAAGATACTAGGTTTGCGAATATACACTTGGCATATGCATCATCAGTGATAATTTTTCAGAGACCTTTCTTGGTGCTTTAAAGCTCGACGACTTCAGTGAATTGCCTTTTCCCAGAAACTGCTTAAATTGCGCTAGTGCTGTGACCGGCCCAGAACCGCGCGAGGTCGCGGAATTCGAGGCATTTGCAGGTTTCGAGAACCTTGGTGATAGATGGGAATTCCTTTGGTCTTAGTCATATCTTCGAGCAATGGAACCCGTGTGCACCGGTCGGCAGAGGAAATTGAAGAGCGGATGAGGCGGGGAATGGGACGATGCCTACCCATCCTCTGGCTACGAAGGGAGATTATGAGGTGATTGGAGCTGCATTTTATTTATGGGATTTCATTCAGTTAATGCAGGAAGTTAACCTAGTAGGCGCGTTCATTGCCGTCTCGTATATGCATAGCTATGGACTTCAGGTCCGAAGTCACGTTTTAAAACTGACACAATTTTATTCTTGGCTGTAAAAGTTTTCACAATCATTTGCCTCATACCTTGATAATTCGAAGTACCAATGTAATGGTAATTTGATCTTTTGCTTGCAATGTCACAAACACTAGATAGTGGCATCACATACAGCGTCACATGACATTGAGCTGAACAACGCTCAAGTGCTATCTCTTCCACGCAGGAATAGTCAACACAAGCTCTGAAATTCCTTCCTCTACTCCGATCTATTGAAGACCCAAGCAATGTCTACTCTCAATAGTAACATCTCTCATTGCGAACTGCATCTCAAAATCAATCAAGGTTCTTCTTTTGGTTTACCCCCCAAGTTTTTCCGTCTCTTCTCCTCCTCTGCCTCCAACCCCGTCTTAGTTGTCTCATGAACAGTCATGAGCTCTTTCTTTTGAATTCCAAATGAGATAACTAAGCCAAGAAAACAGATACAAGTATACAAAATCCACGTTTTGGAAAGAGCATCTGCAACTACACTTCTGTAGACGGAACTCTGTGCTGAGGTAATAGTACTTGCAATATTAGAACCACCGATAGCGCCGCCATTCAGAAGCTCTGACACACTATCCTCAGGTATACCAACTGCGAGCAATTCTTCCTTGTGGTGTTTGAGAATGCCCTGAAAGACCACCTGACCAAGTACAACACTGTTCGCGGTAGCAAGATTTCGGATAAAATTCAAAGTACCGGTTGCTACCCCGATATCCTCCGGCGCGACGAGAGCTTGCACGCAAATCACAAGAGTTTTCATATTAGCGCCAATTCCCCACGCAAGCAGGATTTGAAAGACGACGATTTTGCCCCAACTGCGAGTCAGTGTAGGCAATAGTATACTACAGTGAAACTATGGCGCGTATTAGCATATTGATATTGCAGCTAGTACGTATAGAAAGGAGGTTATACCACTCTCGTACATATTCATATGCCTAAAGAATACTAGCAATATACTGAAATACTGGAATCCAATATAAAATATACATTCCTATCCTAATTAGGTAATAAAATTCCATTCCTGATTTCAAATTGAATGGGAATCCCTTATTTCTAGCCTAATTTGGATAGGAATGTATTATTTATATTGGATTCCAGTATTTCAGTATATTGCTAATAGTATTGAATAACTAAATGATATTGAATACTTTCAGTGGTATTGAATTCTATAACACATACGTACGTATTTCGAAAAAATTCGATACGCACCACTAAACTAACCCGTATACGAAATACGGGAAATACTATTGCCTACACTGCTGCGAGTAGGGCCGAAGGTAATCATGATGCCAAGCGCCAGAGTCAGAAGTGCCATTGTTCCCCGAATAACCCACAGATATTGTCCGGTGCGTTGAATTAGAATGCCCATGATGATTCCAGAGGCCTTGAATGAAACCGCGAGAGGGAGTAGCCAGACACCGGAAAGAATTGGTGTAGCTCCAAGGACACTTTGAAAGTATAGCGGAAGGAAGAAGACAGGTGCGATAAAGCAAGCGCCGTGACAGAAAACAACGGCAAATGTGTAGATGAGTGACACGTTTCCGAAGATACGGCGAGGGATATTTGGATATTTGGCAAAGCGTTCGCATATCCCGAAAACCGCATAAGTCATAAGTCCGAAGACGATGAGGCAGATGACAACTGCAGACTTTAAGGGATGGGTCACGCCTCCGAAGTCCAAGCCCAACAGGAACATGAGAGTTGCGCCAACGATGAGTATCGATCCAACCCAATCAATAGCCTTGAGACCGGCGACAAGAGGAGTCTTCGGATTGTGGATATGGAGAAAGAGAAATGTAATAATAAGGGATAGTCCATCAAATGACAAATTGAAACAAAAGCACCATCTCCACGATACATATTCGGTAAATGCGCCACCAATGATAGGTCCAATTGCAGTTTCAAATGCCCAAACAGCTCCATATATACCATAGAAAAGTCCTCGTTGTCTGGAGGATGAATATATTAGCAAAGAATTGATCAAGTACCCCCAGTATTGGGGAAGAATTTAAAGTTTGGTTACAACTTGGTTATGCAAACGGAACATACCTTTGACTGAACATATCTCCTACAGAAATCTCAACAAGAGTTATGATGCCACCTCCACCGAGCCCCTGCACAGCACGTGCAGCTATGAGCATGCCTACACTGTGCGATAATGCGGCGATCAGACTGCCAACAAGGAAAATGAAATTGGCGATAAGTAGGATTGGTTTTCGACCGAATATGTCGCTCACTTTACTCCAGACTGGCGATGAAGCTGCCAGGCAAGAAGATAGGAAGATCCAATCCAGGAGTAACCTGAGTCTGACGCGCCTATATCTTTCACAATTGTAGGCAACGCCGGAGTTATAAGAACCGCGTCGATGGCTGCGAGAAAGACCGAGAGACACAGTGTAGCCAGCATAATAGTAAGTTTGCCTTTACTCATATCAGGAGTGTCAGGCACATCTTCTTGAGGCGCGGGAGGCCTAGTGCGATCGCTATTAACATCTGTGGTACTATTAATATCCATCAGATTCTCGGATTTCTCGAGAGGCTCGTTTGTATTAGAATCCATCTAGAACTTGTTGCTCTAACAACACACGGGGATTTATATCAATACTAAATTCAGGGTTTGAGATATATCTCGAATCGACCAAATATTGCCTCTTAAGAAGAAGTTACACGCAAGAATAGATTGAGAGGAGATAACCCATCTGAAAGGCTCAGGAAAGAAAGGACGCTGCAGCCCGCGTTCGGACTCGGATACTTTACCAAAATGGAAGTGTCCAAATTGTTAATCCTCCTCGCAACTCAATCTGATTTACCGAAACAAATAGAATAGTAAAATACACTACCGACTTATCTATGCGATGTCTGAACCCAAACCCGATTTGTCATTTGAATTGCGTCGATAAAAAATATTGTAAGCTTAATGGCTTTCACAAGGAGCTTGGGGGCAAAATGGCGTTTAGACTTTGAAGTCCTCCTTGCTTGATCATTAATTACCATGGTTATTGTTTCAACAAATGACGAAGAACAGCCCCCACTTGCTGGAACGACAAATAAAGTATATTCTGTTTGTGATGGCACGGAAGTGAAGTTCATTATGAATTCTTCTCATCAAGAAAAAACGCAAGGGAAATGACAATTGAGAGACGCAGATTGAAGTTTATCTTTCCGGCATTAGCCATCGGGATCTGAGGGCTTGAGAATACCCAAAAAGAAATGAACATATTAGAAATAAACAAATAAATTCTGAACAAAATGTTATGCTCTTCCCAATATTTTCAGCCCTTCGTGTGCAACTTTCCAATAATCCCTGCCCGAAACCTCAATGGTTCCTTGGTGTGAGAAGTTGTCTCTATGCTCACGTGCAATCGTCTAGAGACCTTTCTGCATCTACCAAGACTGGGACAACTCTCGGGATAATGACGATGTCGAGCAGGAGCTCTGCATACTGATTGCACCGCTAGATTGGATTGAGGAATCGAGTAGCCCCGACAACTTTCATTTTCTACGCAAACGGCAAAGAGATTCCATTTCTCAAACAAACGTTCCTGCTCTGTAAACTGTTGAGTCGGCATCGACTTGTCAGATATGACATGATCGAGTCACCTGATCATATCTCCCAGAGCATGTAATGGTCTCCTATAGATAATTCTCTTCGCTTCACTACTGGACCCAAACTCATAAGGTCTTTGCTGGCCTTGCAGCATCCCGTAAAATACCCTTTGCGCAAAAATACATCATCTGACGATTAGTTCAACCTCTCTCAAGTCCTCGAATCTACCTCGACGAAAGTTCTTCGATCCAAAAACGAGATGCTTGTCGATACAAAACCTTTTCCCTCAAGAATCGTGGAATGTAATCGCAATGCGCTCTTTTAACTTAGCCTCCACTCTCCGCGCATCGAAAATCGCAAGAGCATACGGCTGGCGCGAGGCGATAGCTTTGCCAACAGCCTCAGAAATTCTACACAGAAGATGCAGTACATATTGACCGAGCAAGCGGGCCGAGAGCATGCGATCGGTTTTAGCTGCGAAAGACCCAAAGCGTATCTCGACATAACTTCCTAGACATTGGAAATCGCGGTGGGTTTCAATGATGAAGATCACGACGTCGAAAATTTGAAGGAGACGCACTGAAAAACCCGGGAGTCAGTACTTCCTGTTGTGGCAAACTTGAAAGAAAGTGAGGAGATAAAGCTGTGTTAGAAAACAAAAGATAAGCTGTGTTAGAAAACAAAAGGAGAATAAATCCTCGAAAGGGAAAAGGGAGTGCAATCCGAGGAGGAGGAACAGGATTATGTATTAAGAACAAAGGAATTGGTGAGCAGATTGTACTGACTGTAGCAGCTTACGATCATGAGACCTGTGGCTGTGTCGGCTTCGTCGGTGGTCGTTAACTCCTGGGTGTCCGAGCTGCTGATAAAGCCAGCTGATACGGTTTTAGCATTGCTTGGAGGTAGGTTATTGCCCAACTAGCTTGTTAAGGCATCGATGAATCGTTCTGTGGTTTGGAACAATTGCTGTTGTAACCAACTGGTGTCGATTGCTGCCATCTTGTTTGGATGGATTGAGCATTTTATCTTTCTTGGCTGTTTCCACGGCTTTGACAGAGATGAGACAGCGATATAATTCGAGGTGTAGCTTGGTGAGTTGCTCGACTGGATCAAAGGGCGTATCGTCAAGTTGTGGCTGTAAATCTGTGATGCTATCTGGCTCTGTGCTTGCTCCGATGGTATTCGCATCAACACCATGAGCAAATAAGCTTTCCGGCAAATCGTTATACTGTGGGAACAAAGAGTTCGAATTTTCTAGTCCAGCAAAGGGAGAATCCGAATAAGAATTTAGTTGATTTGGAACTGCCCACGACGACCAAATATCAAGATCCGAACCCGTGTATGAGGTTGGAGTGATTTGTGCCACAATAGTGCTGCTACTGTTACCCACGTTTTCGTTTTTCTCCACAGATACGTCCACAGGCTGGCACATGGCAACGTCAATCTTATTCGGAGATAGGTCAGCAAATTCAATACCAGCGCCGGCACCCCTACAGCTAGATGTGGAGTCACCGTCAGCCGACGGAGACCACGCTATAACCCCGCAATCACTATCTGCCGTGGACAAATGCCTCAATCCACTCCCGGAACTTGTCGTGCTACCAATTCTACGGCTTTTACCGCCATATCGGGATTTGTTTTTGTACCGAGCACCATTTATGCTGGCGCTGGCATTATGGTTATTGCGACGACTGTAGTCTGCTGGTCTGCCCGTGCGCTGTAGCTGTCTGGAAACGCACTCGACGTTGGTAGCCAGGCAACGATCACAGGCATGTTCACCAGGTGGCTTTCGAACACATCGTAGCTTTTGAGTATGACATTTTGCGCATGCAAGTTGTTTCTGTGATTTTTGAACGCCAATATTGATACTTTCTTCAGAGAAATCGAGGAGGCGCTCGGAGTGAAACACACCGGTATTCGCCGACAACTGTTGAATGTTGTCTTGTTGGGGAGACATAGAGTTAGATCTTTGGTTGGGTATGGATGCCTGGAAAGGGCTTATGGAAAGAGTTACTCTATTTTCGTTTTGTAATCTATCCTTTGTTGGGAGAGGTTGTAACACACTCAAACACAAAAACAACAATCGAATCATTCGTTGCTTGAAGAAAGTTCCAACTAAATTTCCAACAGATCATTTTTCGTCTAATCGTCGCAACTTCGATAGAGCTGCTTATGAAATGTGCTGCTTATTCACATGAATATTGACTGGCTATTCCAGGCATTAGACAAGTAAGCGAATGCAGTGTCCTGTCTTTCCCATATTCACATCCAATCAGCGAATCAGCTCTGTGACTGGGCTATCGGTCTCGTGATCTATGATCTATGATGCTCATTTCAAATGGTGACTACCTGAACTTGTGAAAAGGCTTCCTGTCTAGTTGAACACTTTGGAAATTCGCGTTATTAAAAAAAATTGAGATTTTCGAAGAATTTAAACAGCACGTGACACAGTACTCTTTGTCAGTAACACACCAAAATGTATCCATGGCCTGTTGGGGGCACAAAAAGTGGAGAGCACAGTCCAAAGAAGGAAGTGTCTCCAGGTGAACGAGCGGTGCAAGAAAAAACAGGCTCTTTGTTGAGTAGTTGTCGCTTGATCCCCAATACATTTCGTCTGACGGACATCAGACATCCGTGCCAACCTAGGTATATATATCTTGAAATCCGATCATTTTTCCACTTTCTTATTGATTATATAATATTTCACGTGAAATAGGCACGTGAATCACTCAGTATTGATTTTTTAGAATTATATTTAACAAAGCTTTATATCTATTTCTAGGTATTATTAAGTTATAATATTCCGAGTCTACTGAGTTTATACGGTAGATGAGCCTCAGCACCTCAAAAGGTGAAATGACATGCACGTGAGCTTATCACGTGTAAAAACTTTTGAGCCTATAACGTCGCGTCATACTACCTACGCTCCTCCGATGGTAGACTTTTTGAAATTAAATAATATAGCTGGCTACCTAGGTACTAAAAGATGTTACTAAGGGAAAATCATGTGGCTTAATATTTGAGAATCATTGATAGCCACTCTGTTTAATCACGATTATGAGGAACCCCCGAAAAGCACTATGTACATGGTTATATGACATTAGCAAAGCGGATAAAAGCACGGAAAACGTCTTGCATCATTTCCTTTTCACGATCTGATAAATTCGTTGCATTGTAATCGCAATGTCGTTTCTATCTTTTTATCATTACTAAGGGTAGCCTCATGACGAATGACATGTTTATCATGGGATTGACACTGAGAAAATATACCATTCAAATAAGTAAGGCTCAGATGTGAAGACAACACTACAATTATGGCTATGTACCGAACGAATTGCGTCAAGTCTTAGATTGCAAAGATAAGAAGGGCTGCGTAACTCAAAGTCTGCACTCGAATGCAGATCAGGGGTGGAATGATGGTACTAGGAATCGTGATTTCAACTATCCACCCTATTTGAATAGAGATTGTTGATGCTGTTCTACCGATCAGCTTTGGCTTTCCAAAAAGGAAAGTTATCCAGGCCCTTCGTTCAAATTCGTTGTCGGGCAACACTTCGACTATGGCAGACTTTGAACTGGTGTAGATTGTGTTGATTGCGATCCACTAGCATTTCCCATTCCTGAATGAGTAGCCCTCGCATGTCTATCACGATCCCATCTCCTCAAAAATTTCGCTCGACAGCCAGGAAATTCGCACTTGAATGGTTTTGTTCCATCATGTTTTCGTTGGTGTATCTTTAGACCTGATGACCTTGTATATGAGCTTCCGCATATATTACATTGATGCTTCACTGGTTCTTTCTTGACCTTTGGAAATTTACCTCCGAAAGCTGCTGGATCGGGATGCTCTAATAACATGTGTCTTTTGAGTTCCTTCTCGGTACTGTATCCCCAATGTTTTCTCAGGCAACTTAGATCGGTGCATAAGAAGGGCTTCTCGTGTCGTTGAAGATGCTTATCACGACTATATTCATCAGGAAACCCCTCATGGAAGTAGAAACATGCATGGCGAGGACATTTTATCCATTTTGAACCGTAATAAGTATTGAGCTTTTGCTTTTCCTCAATCGTTAAGTTTTTTGATTTGGACAGTTTGGTTAAATAGGATCGTACTTTCTCGAGGATGATCTTCAACTCCTTTGGCTCTGTAAGTTCATCTTGAGCGGCCCGAACTTTTCTAGTATGGCTCAGCAGAAAAATTAGTGAGTCTAGTTGGTCGGACCCAACAAGATGAGTGCATCGATCTTCTAAGAAGGAGGGGACATCCAACCTTTTTGTGTTTTGCACTCCAAAAATCTCGTAAAATTCCGCAATGGCGGACCCAAGGTCGCATTGTTCTGAGTTTTCAAGGTCCGATGGTGATAATTGCTCAATCAGAGACTCTAGATGATCAACCCAATACACAATTGCATATTCTTGGAATGCATAATAACCTTCGTTGACATAGTGGTGGATTTGATTGTCAGGTGTAGTCGGGTCAAAGCATTGGAAAAGTAGGTAGCGTAGGCACATTACTGCCAATTTCTGCTCTTCTAAATTTATTCTTACATGGCTCTTATCAATCAAGTAACTGTTTTTCGTGTTCATCAGTTATTTGGAAATATCCAGCCAGCATATGGTTTCATATATGTTTAACGTACGATTTCGCGGTGCTACGCACGAGTTGCACTCGGTCCCCTAGAAGGACTTCCACGAGAGACCCACAGAGATCCTAAATATGAGCTCGTAGCTGGCGGTCTAAAAAGGTCAGCTTAGTCGTGAATCAAGACAAATAATCCCATCATGGATTCCATACAGGGGCCTGGGGTTTGATCAATTGACGCACCCTCAAATTTCACATCCTCATCATCCATGTTAATTGATACTGCAGCCTGTATTTCATGCCATCGCATGGGCCGCTTAGCACATGAAATCCAGCCCAATAATCTTTCTGCGGTAGCTCGCTCCGACTCGTTGGGGTTCTGATACACTCGACACACAATCCTCGAGTATCTGAATTGTCAGCAATGATAAACAATTTCGGTCTTCTTCCAAGGTTCTTTCGCTCACGCTTGTTCAAAGCCAACTGGAAATGTTCCCGGCCGAAGTTCCTCGTACAATTTTTCACGGGATGTTTGTTCATAAAGATTAGTGAGGATTAGCTTTGCATATAAGAACATCCCTGAGACCGGTTAGATCAAGACAGTGAGGTACTGGAGAGCGCTTACCATCTGCACCTTCAGACACACTCTTTATGATGTGTGTCTTTGTATCATCTGATACAACAAACTTCTGCTGTATTTTCTCTGCCCACACTCGAGAATAGACTTCAATATCAGATCTGTTGCAGGAGCTTGACAACCGTAAATCTGAGCATTGCCGAAGCTGTCTCTTTATATCAGGCTCGTTTTGACTGACAATCAGTAAGCGAAGCATTCCTGGGTACAAAGTCTTTTGCACAATAGAGACCAGAGTAGAGAGCAAGAGTCTCCTTTGCACCGGCTCGCATTCATCGAGCCCATCAATTATCAAATGCGTCCTTTCGGATTTAGATACAGTTTCAAAGCACACCTCGAGTAGCTTCGTACACATCTCATGCGAGACAAGTGAAACAGAATGACTGTTGATACACTCGCTATAGAGGTAAGGTAGAAGAGCTTCGTTTTGCTTCAGCAGTTGAGAGAGTATAGCCCGAGCCACTGCTAGGAAAGTGTCTCTCTGTTTATCGTCATATTTACAATAAAAGAATATTGTTGACGATGAGCTGTTCTTCATGCATTCTCCAATGATCACGGATGTCAATATGGTTTTTCCTAGTTCAATTAGCCCATGAAGCTAGTATTATGCGACTCTGTAATGCCTACCTGCTCCGGGGATACCATTAATCCAGAGAAGTGGGACGGTTAATTGTTGAGGATCAAGCCACGCTTTTATCTTATTCTCTTGCAAAATCCAATTGCCGGAGGAGGGATAATCGGCTCGCATAGAGACCGCGAACTCATGGTCAGGTATAGGATCGGTGGAAGCGAGCCAATCTAGTAAAGCCAGTCGTTGACGCTTGGTATCTTCCTTCTCGATAGCCTCGAACTGCTTTTTGTGATTAAGATGCTCCCTCTGGTATTCTTGAATACGAAGAATTGATTCTTGGATCATTGAAATCGAAGTTTCGGCTTTAGTGTAATCTTTTTGCTGCTTTTCGAATTGAAGAATCGTCGCTTGACTTTCTACTAGAGCTTTATGTCGGGCCAGCCCGTCTAGTATATGCCGAAATTTACTGTTGAAGTCTTTCCAAGTCGCCCTAAATATTTGTTTCCACGCTGAGACGTAAGCGAACAAAACCTAAAAGGTCGGGTACGGTGCAACAGCACATTCGGAGATTTACAAACAAGAAATCCTTTTTAGTATTTTGAGGATTCAGATAATCTCAAACACTTAAAATCAAGTAACGCTTCGCTCGGAAATTTCAAACAATTGTTAGATGATTGGTTGAAGAATACACTTACTTGATTTGCTGAAAACCCTAAGAGCCGCTCGGTGAAAGTCGAGCATGTCTTCATAGAACAATGCAAGTACGTTAACCATATACGAATTGCCTTTGAATAGGTCACCATATTGCTCGAGAAGAGGTATGTTTTCCGCAAGTTGCTGATATGCGTCTAATAGTGTGTCGAAAGACTCGGCCCATGAGCTTGCAACCTGAAGACAAAATTTCATGGGGCCCCAAATGAAACACAACACTGAAGATGTGTTGAGGAAAACTTCGACAACATTTGAATATTGTTCAAATGCTTCGATAAAGGCTTTGACACGAGAGAGATTCATCATGCTTTTACGACGGCTTTGTTCATCTTGTATCTTCAGTATAGCGGTCTTCACTTCGTCCAGAGTTGTGGTTTGAAATCGCAACTGCTCCTCTTGAGTCAACCGTTTTTTGAAGCTTGCCAACGCAATTTGAAATGAGTCGGCCATGACTGGAATGCCGGAGAAGCTATCAATATGTGGGAAACTATCCAACGTTCCATACGACTTGAATAAATAGATTGAAGGAATCCAAATTCCACTTCTTGTCAAAATGCAGTCCAGATTGTTGTTCTGGATGGGAAAAATGTCGTGTAATAATAACCTTGGAAGTCCGAGAAAGAAGGTCCATGATTTAGCCACATTTGGTTGATGAATGTGGCTGACGTATTCTGCACCTCACCTGCACCTGCAGTCCACGTATCGCCAGTCTCGCGAATCCAGAACGTTAACAACTCGGTCTCAACTCAACGCGCACTGCCCCGTACTGCACCTTACCCTTCACAAAAACAAATCAATGACTGCGAATACTAAGTTACTTGCTTATCTCCTAAAAGAATCAGCCTAACCTCCTGCACATGCAGTTCTCCAAGCCATGTGATCTGAACAGAGCCTCGTTGCCTCGTCGGGGCGCAGCATTCATTGGCATTGTACTACAAACCCACATGCTCCTAATTTTTCAATTGTTTGAAATCCGCTGAACAGTGTTTGTATTTTGCAATTCGTAATTACATACCAGGTAGTCAAGTGATTCTGTGCATCCAAATCACAACAATGCACAGCGCCTTCCCATTGCTAAATCACAACAATGTCTTCTTCCAATGTAGTGGCACATTCACATCAGGAGAACAAAAGGGGCCTACCTGATATCCTCGAACCCTCATTTGATCTGGATGGACCGTAAGTTAAAAAGGGACATAAAGTTCGTATATTTAACCTACAACTTGGTGGCTAACACAAAAAATGTAGAACTTGGGCTTTTTATTCTTACAAAAAGACAAGAAGAGATTCTGTGTCCCACTCAGGGACTCAAAGCGACGAGAACTCTGATCATCATGGCGGATCATTTGCTGCTGATCCAGATTTTGACTTGCACCCTATGTCACTACCCAATTCATTTATAGGAACACGGAATGATTCTGGATATATCAATCTAGCATGCTTTGGGCTTGTAAGTACTCCACAAGAAAGAAATAAAATAGGGAGTCTTATTGAGAAATATCAGGTTCATAACATACAAACAAAACTCCTCGATTCCACGACACAGGAGGTTTTAGGGAGTAATGACATCGGCACTAACTCAAAAGATACGCCGTCGCTCAAGCTTCGCTTTCAGCCTGAGAGTGAAGTTGTTTGTCTGACGACCTCAGCTCCCGATAAATCAGATTTTCAGACGGATTCTGCAATTCTGAATGAGAAGACCGGCCGAGTACTTTGCCAGATGAAGAATCTAGGTTGTCGTTTTGAGACACTTCCTTCAACAGCTAAACCCAGTCATGAATTAGAAGCCGATAGAAAGATGTATCTTTATGTTGATGTCATAGTAGCTGGTCCTAAGAATGTCTGTGATGCTGTTGGCACACTGTTGTCGACCGCAAAACTTTACTTGCAACATCCTGAGACGACACAATTCGAGAAATATACCGAATATCAAAACCCCCATTTCTTGAGTTTCGATAAGGCACCTAGAAGCATGATTATGGAAAGTGAACAACCACATACTATCAACTCGTCAAACGAATATTCTCTGGGCATCGACATGGATGCTAGGGAGGATAATCGACTTCAACCCAAACTTCACAAGAAGGTCACAAAGATTTTGAATTCATTGACAAGGGGTCAGAACCTGAAAAGGATCGAGGCAAACATCAAGATAATAACATCCCTTCTGCAGTACGTTATTTGCCCTTTATTTGAGACCGCCTTTAGTAATCATTGATTTCAAATGAGTAGACACCAGGCAGAAGCACTAGACTTCATAGCGCAGAGGGAATTTGGTCCAATTCCCGATGAATATTCTTTGTGGACTCCGCAAAGATACGAAAACCAGATTTGGTAAGCCCATTCTATTCAAGTTGTTATAAGACGGTGGCCTCTCCTATTCTAACTATATTGGAGTTATCAGCACAGGATATCAGGTCATAAACGTGGCGATAGTCCGATCGAATGTGGTGGGGGAATTTTGGCAGATGACATGGGCCTCGGAAAGACACTAACAGTACTTGCCAGTATTATGCAGACATCTAAAGAAGCCGAGGACTTCTTTAGTAATTTCCCTCGAGGCTTTGAGCACGACAAGAACTTCAAATACAAGGTTCGTTCAAAATCGACACTCGTTATTGTGCAAACATCTTGTATGTCTACCTTTTGCTTTCACAAATTGTTCCCAGTTGATAGATATAGTACTCATCGATGGATGGAGAGAGGAAATCGCCAAGTAAGATATCACCTGAGCTCAATCATCCAGACTGAAGCTAAATCAATAGACACTGTTGGGGATATGTGAACATTAACATATACCATGGTCGTGGGCGCGAGACAAGCCGTCAGCCCCTAATCGAAGCGGACATCGTACTGAGTACATATGATACAATCTCTGCGGAATCATTAGATCCAGAAAGTCCAGTCTATGGTATTGAATGGTTCCGTCTTGTTCTTGACGAAGGTAGTTGATCAATGTCCGGCAGGCTGCAGTAGATTTCTTGCTCACTTACCATCTCTTAGCCCACAGAATTTGCAACATCAAGACGAAGCTATTTCGAGCAATGAGTCAACTTTCTGCAAACATAAGATGGTGTCTAACAGGTACCCCTATTCAAAATAGTTTGGATGACCTCGCGGCGTTGGTTTCTTTCATACGTTCCTCACCCCTAGATGAACTTCCAGTGTTCCGGAAGCACATTATAAATCCACTTCTGAAAGAAAAGGATGAAGGGGCTGCCAATCTTCGAACATTGCTGGACTCAATATGCTTACGACGCACCAAAAAGTTACTAAACCTACCAAGTGTAGTAGAGATATATCGGCAGGTCCATTTCTCTTTCGAAGAAAAGTCGCTGTATGATTCGACACGACGAGAGGAAATACAGGCCGCGAAACAACAAGATAGTCAAGGCAGAAACAAAAAAGGCTACTTTGGAATCTTCCAGCTGCAACTACAACTGCGGCGGCTTTGTAATCATGGCACATTTCTCAAGAGATGTTCTTCTATTTCTCAAACTGATACGCAGTTTGATCCTGAGCAAGCCCTTGGACTATTGCAAGAGAAAAAGGAGTCTAAATGCCAGAATTGCAATATAGAGATCGAAGGCCTCGGCAGTAGTGTCATCCATCGTGGCCGCTTCACTACTTGTGGACATCTTTTATGCTTTGATTGTGTTTCTATATACAGAAACTCCCTCATTATAGATAAAGATGATATTAACTCACGTTGTTCGATATGTAGCCAGATATTTATCAACAATGTCTGCTTTGCCGATGAGGACGGAAGCAAACGCAAGGCTCATTCATTGACAACATCAAGCAGATTCGAGAGCACTGGAATAGCATCCAAAATGAAGGAACTGATGAAGGATGTAAACCGAAATCAGACAGGAGGCAAGAGGTATGAAATATGAATCTAGCCCAGTATAAATACAGAACTAACAGAACATCAGTGTCATATTTTCCTGTTGGACTACATCGCTAGACCTTGTTGGGTATCATCTGAAGCTCTACGGGCTGCCCTTTGAACGGATAGGCGGGAGTTGTACCCGTGCACAAAGATATGAAATCTTACAAAAATACACCACAGATGAAAATATACGGATACTCATAATGACAACTGGGACAGGGGCAGAGGGGTATGTTTCTCTGGGCTCCCGAGTAAATTCAGCTGACTAACATCCATAGTCTCAATATTACAGTCGCCAATTATGTATACATACTGGAGCCACAATGGAATCCAATGGTTGAAGCTCAAGCGATCGCCCGGGTTCAAAGAATTGGTCAGAACAGGGATGTCAAGATTTTCAGATGTATTGTAGAAGATACCGTGGAAAAGGTTCGTTAACCACAATATCTGCATCCTCAATAATTACTAAATGACCAATCATAAATAGGGTATTCAAGCTCGACAGTCGAGGAAGCTGGATTATGCGAAGATGGGGTGGACCGGAGACCAATTGGAGCTTCCAGAAGATTCTACAAGTACATCCAATGGTGGATAACTCAAATCTTTGCGTTTTCAAACAAACAAAGTCTCATAATTCATCGGTGTAGAACTCCGAGTTTCCTTGAAATGCTTAGAATGAATAATTACTTCCATTAAGTACCCAGTCGCATGAATCTACAATCTCGCCAAGCTTGATATTAGTTGTACTACCCGAGCGTGAAACAAACTTAGGATCTGTGCTGTGGTTGAACGCCCAGGTAGGCTGTTTGTACTTTATTTTTTGATAAGTGTAGAAGATCTACGGACACTCTGGGATGACTTGCCAGGCTTCTATTATCGATGAGCCAGATAGTCTGGTTATGTATACATTCTGATATATCGTAGTTGACGCAATAATACTATTTCTTCCGCTCAAAATGAGTAAGCGAGGGGTAAACCCGAATTTTCAACTCGGACTTGCAAAATTTGTGATGGATCTCGAAACTTCGGTTAACGATAAAAGCACTTTTATTAAACTTGCAAGCTAAACTAATAGATGAGCTAACTCGTTGATATAGGCTCCCCAGGGATGAATCATCGATACGATTAATCCATCGTATGATAAAAACTCTCCTTCCTGTGTATAATATTGTCGTAACCTTTGCAGTCCTTGAGGGGACAGAATGCAGAAATTCCACCCATCGAACCGAACCACGTGATATATCCAGCTAGTCATTGCTTTTGTTCCTAATAAACAACCATAATGACCAGCCATGCAAAAATGAAAAATTCTATGAATGCCGAAAGAAACTTGCCAAAGCTTCATAAACTGAACCGAGTCGCTCTCCATGACCCATCCACTACTGGCTTCCCCTCTGTCTCCGTTCATTTCTCCTAGCAATATCCCTATCCCATCCTCGGACTATATCATCTAGCAATTGCACTTTTCTGTGATCACTATTATCAAGCCCACGCAATATATCTCGAGCCGATGCCCATCTATCGTTCTTCTCCCCATGGATTTCAACCAATTCCCTCACCGCAGATTCCGAAATATCGACAGTCCCCTCATCAAACCGCCTGTTCTCTTCCTACATATGAATTATAGCAGCCTCTAGCATGGAAACGCGTCTGTTTCTGGTGGCCAGTGTCTCCTCCAAATTTTCAGCGCGATCTTTCAAAATCAGCTTCTCTATTTCTTGAGCAGTTGCAGCGCGCTCGAGCTCGTATAAATTGGTCGTCAATCCAGTATTCGCCATCTCCAACTGTAAATTGCGTCCCCTCAATTCATCGGCCTCTATTCCTCGTCTCAACTCCGCCTCCGTAAGATCTGAGACCTGAGTCGTCAATCCATTATTCGCCGCTTCCAGCTCTAAAATGCGTCTCCTCAATTCATCGGTCAGTCCGCTAACAGCCCGTAATATTTGTGAAGTGCGCGCTGCTTGTGCGTCTATAGATAGCTCCGAATTTCTAAGGTTCAATCTGATTCGCGGTTGAACTCCGTTGGCCCTAACTGCAGTACGACGACGACGTACTACTCTTCTAGCAATAGGTCGTGCAGCACGTCTATATCTGACGATATCTTCCTGACGCCAGTTTTCTTTGCCTATGTCTTTCGGTGAGCATATTGACAGTCTCTGGTGAAAGTCTGTGCAGCAGGTCGTCTAGCCGACGCATAAGGACGGGTCTCGTTTCCCCTGGCTGATGTAGCTCGATACGTTAATTCTCTCTGACTAACTCCTGAATAGTGCCTCTTAAAAGGTTGAGAGTCCACCGGTCTCGATTAAGGCCGAGCAATAACGGACTTTCTGAAGCCATGTTGTCTATCACGTTTCCAACATTAGTATGCAATGAACAAGCAATGAGGGTAAGGTAGAAAATTCGAGACTCCAACGTCCTCACTAACGCATAGCGCCACTTGAAGTGTGTTGGTTAAGAGAAATTCAAGAGACACTTACTGGATGTATCTTTCTCTTGCTTGGCAACTGAAAGAAAGTGGAGGCTATCGAGGAGCCTTCTTCGAGGTTTGATTTTACTACTGAGGTAAAATTGCGAGGAAAGGGAGAGGTCCTGATTGTAGAAAAATCTTGAATCGAATTGGAGAAAGGTTTAGGTGATCAAGAGCTTCTCTTTCAATCTCGAATTGATGAAAGATGTATGAGTTGTATATGTAAACCACGATCAGTTGAACTGATAGATCGATGGTTGTTTGTGTAGAGGAGAAGAAATTTTGTGAAAAGAAATCAAGAAGGGAAGCCTTTTTATGAGCAGGAAAATTGGGTTAACCGAAGTGATGATTGAAAGTGACAATCAAATTCACTTCTCATGAAAAATTCGTAGATGCATTCACTAATGAGGGGTATCTCATGATTGAAAGATGAGTTGATTGAAAGTGATAATTGAAAGTGAAATTTGACCAAATCTGATATCCAGGTTCACTTTGAACAAAAATGCTCTAGTGGTAGCGAGAAAACCATCGTGTCGTAGGTGAGTAAATGACCTTGAGTCATTGGTTCAGTGGGCTAAGCGAGAGCGCTAAGCCAAGATTGCTTAATCCTACACATCCATAGATTAGCTCTCTAGACAGAATGCCACATTGACATTTAGAACCTACATCGTAGGTGCTATTTCACCTGTACTCTACTCGATCAGGCCTGCTATCACCCGAGACGCATCAGGAAGCGAGGCCTCTCAGGTAGCATGATGTCAGATGCCACTCTTAGCGTATAGTGTTTGAGGTCGACGATCTTTAGGGTTCTTCTCAATTCTTCATGAAATTCTACTTTACAGCTACTCGAAGCCTAGTTAGTTCCGCCTAGGTTGTTAAAAAATGCCTATCAACTCAAACGTCTTTTCAAACCAAAACTCATCATTTACACTGACAGATTTTATATTCATGATTTGTGTTTTAAAATTTATTCAAAAATCCATACTATAACTTATAGAGTGTAAGGAAGAAATCAAAAAATTTTGCTCTGATGATATATTAATCATGTAGACCTCGAGCGAAAGGAATTGAAGACGAAGAGAATGATTTTCGATTTAATTGGGTTTAGTACTATTGATCAACCCCGTCAACCGCAAGAGCTCTCCAGATTTTCATTTGAGTAAAAGTGAATCTTGCAGGCTGGAAATTACAATCGGACTCGGTGTCGACCAGTGAGATAATAAGTCAAATAAATTATTCCGAATAATCTAAATAAGGTAATTAGTGAATGATTGTCCCTCAGAAGTAAACATAATCATGCATTTTTCACTTTTGATTGTAAATGAAACTATGCTTCTAGAATTGACAGAAGAATAGAATGCCTCATAGCACTGCAAACAGAAGATGCTTTGTTGGGAGAGCTGAAGGTTTGATAGTGAAGAAAATGCAATTTCTTAAATGAGTACTACATCTGGCATAAAACTGATTTGACAGAAACCCTTGATAACACTTGAACACAGTGAATCTATGAAAGCGAGAGTTGTAAAAAGTGAAATTGAGAATGAGCCTGATAATGGGAAAGAAAGGAACCAAAATTGGAACGAAAGCATGAGAAGTTTAGAAAGGGTGTTGCCATGGCTGGTTGATTGATTGATTGATTTCATTTACGTCCACCTTCAGTCTAAGACTATATAGGACGGCTAGGCCTCTAGAGGCTCTAGCGGATAACTTTTTATTCTACAAAAATGGATATATACGATTTAGGGAAGTGAAAACAATATTGGGGAATAGTGTCTGCTTATTATATACATTGTATATAATAAGAAAATTGTGAAAATCAAGAAATTGTAAGGAAATCAAAGCTCTTTTTTATTTCCTTAATTATTTCTTCTTTATTTTCTTCTTCTTTTTTCTTTTCTATTATTATTTCTTTCTCTATTTTGTTTTGTATAAGAGCTTTGGTTAGGTGCTATGCTCTTGTGGCGATTTTGGTGATATTGATAAATTTAATAGCTAATTTAATATCTATTTTTGTATAGAGTAGGAATTGTATAATAATCTTAAATAGTAATATATTCTTGAATATTTCTTTTCTCTTTATTTTGTATATGGGATAACTAATAAGGAGGTATTATGGAGCTTCAATATTATTATATATATATTTGTTTATCAAAAAGTTTGAATCGATATAAATAAGATTTGATATATCCATGACCTAATTTGAATTGAAAATATGTGCTAGTAGTGTTTTGCTTGGTTTCGTTTGGTAGTTTGATTTTCGATTTTATCTTTTATAAAAATAGCTTTGAATAGGTCAAAGGGGATTGATTTGATTTGAGTTTGTATTGATTGAGAATAGAAAGCTATTGATCTGAATTGTATTTTTTGATTATTATATTTAGAAGTTCAAAACTTGTTTTGTTTAAGATAGAATATATTGTGGTTGCTTCCTTTGCTAGTTTATCTACTAGCTCATTTTCTTTTACTAAAGTATGTTCTGAAATCTAATTTAGAGATACTTTAGCTTCTTTTGCTTTAATGATTTCCGCTACTTTGATTACTCGAATCTGATAGGCCTGTTCAGAGTGATCTAATAGTGTTTTTAAACAATATAGATCAGCTTAGTTGTCCGAATATATCTTGAATTTGTTACCAATACAGGCAATTATGCTAGCATATTCAATAGCTCTAGTAACCCTGTAAAGCTCTCTATTATACACTAGTTGATTGCTACCAATATTCAATTATTATTAATATAAAATTCGATTATTTGATTATATTACGATTATACCTATACCTATACCTATTCCTTTTTCAGTAGAAAAAATGTTAATATAAATGTAGGTAGTATCCTTATCTCTGTAATTGAAAACAATATTGTAAAGAATAGCAGTATTTTCTTTTGATGAATTGCTAATATTAACTCTGAAGGGAGTTTCCTTTTTCCATAGGGGGAAGTTAAAGTGAATAATCTTTTCAAATAAAATAGAATTAAGATCCTGATTTATTGATCCTCTAATTTTATTAAGTTGGATTGATTTATATCGTTTTCTTTAAGGAGTAGGGATTACTTCCAAATCGGTTTGATATTGAACTGATATTTCTTTTTCGATATTGATTGGATGGTTTGATAAGAGTTTAATTAGACGAAATATGTATTACCTATATTTGAATTTAATCGAATTTTTGGAGGCTTTAGGCTTGCTTCTATTTCTATTAAAAGGATTGGGATTATTTTAAAGACTCCTAATATCTTTCGAAGAGCTAGATTTTAAAGCAATTATATTATATTCTTAAAATGAGTTTGATCTCTTCATTAAATCATTAATCTGTAATTAACTATATTAATTATATATACTATATATAATTATCTAAGAGCTTTAGAATTAAAGCCCTTTTCGATATTAGCTAATCAAGTTATTCAATGGAAGGCATCTTTCGCTTATATAATTCGAATATTAATATATTAATTGAATTTAAGGTTCGGGTCGAATCATATTTCTAGTTATCTAATAAGAGATTGGGATACAATTATTTCCGAATTGGGTAGTATAATTGGATATTTTTTTGTTAATTTGAATAATGAAAAGTGTATTAGCTTTATTTTTGCCAAATCGAATTGAATTGTATTTCTAAAACTGAATTCATAGATTTGTTTTATAATTCTCTCTAGGATTTTGATACTCTTTTTTATATAAATAAATATATAATTAAAGCAATATCATTTATATAGAAAAAAAAACTTAATCGAATTAGATAAAAAGAGCTCCCTGATATATATAAGGAAGAAAATTGGAGAAATCGGGCTGCCTTGTGATATTCTAATCGAAATTGATTTGAAAGATTCGATTTGATTATTAAAAAATAATTTCAATTGTTTTTATTGAAGAAATGAGGTTATCCAGACTATCAGATTTATAGGCAGTTTTAGTTTTTTATAAATATCTAATAGTCGATTTCTCGAAATATAATCGAATGCTCTTTTTATATCTATAAATAATATTGAGGTCTTTTTACTAGCTTGCTTATTTCTTTCGATTTCTGTAATTAATAAAAGTGTAGTATCGATTGCTAATTTCTTTGATATCCTTCTATTTGATTTTTGTGAAGAAGATGGGTTATTTCTGTTAAATATCCTAATTATTAAGTTAGAATCCTTTTGCTTATTTTACTCAAACAATTTAAGAGTGTAATTACTCTATATGCTTTTGGAAGGGAATAATCTGATTTGGAAGCTTTCTTCAGAATAGCTCCTATGGCTTATTTCCAACATTTCGGGTGATATCCTAGATTAATAAGTTTACTAAAAAAAGTAAAAAAGATATATAGAATTGCTTTATAAGCCTTTATAATGATCTCTTGAGTGATTCCATCTGGACCAGGGGTTTTTCTTTAGATTTTAGCTGAACAGGTATTACTTAATTCGATTTGAATAAGATTAGGCTATTTCCATTTCTTGAATTGTTTATACCCTTCCTATTATGGTTTTGGGATAATAGAAGGGGGTGGGAACAGAGTTGATCTAAAAGCAGAGTATTTTCCTTTGAAAGAGCTTTTTATTGTAATATCCGATATCCTTTAATCTTAAAAGTCTTTAGTATAAGTTATTGCTTTGAAAATTGTTTTTATATCCTTCTTTTCTAGAAATTTATTTTAATAATCCTTTTTGCTATTTTAATAGCTTAAAAGTACTTGTTTTTAATAATTCGATATTCTTCCTTAAAACTATAATTCTTTAGATCTAATTCAATTTTTTGCTTTATTTCTCTTAGCTTTTTTCGGAGATCTTTCAATTCAGATATCCATCATGGTTTGACTCTTTTAATTGAAACAATTTTAGATATATATCTTTCTATTACTTTTTTGAATAATTCTAATAAGTTCGCTTACTACTTGATCTAGAGTTAGATAGTAATTATCTTTATCTTTCAAAAGGTTTAAGGAATTCTTTTTGATTGGAATAATTAATTCTAAATTAGACAGAATAGAGGAATATAAGGATTCCGATTTGAGTATTGATTCGAACTTTTCTCAATTCGCTAGCTTAATATTATATTTAGTTATCGATTCAGTATTAGAAGTATTTAGATCTTCTTTTCCTTTTAATTCGAATAGTATTCTTATATGATCAAATCCTGTATCTGAAAGCGTTTGTCAATTGTGAATTTGAGGAGAGATTCCTTTTGATGCTAGTGTTAGATCAAGAACATTTGGATTAAGGAGATTAGTTCGATAGAAAAGTGCTGATTCCGAGCTTATTTAAAAGAATGAGATTCTGATCTTCAAACTATTCAGCTAATTGATTAGTGTTTCCGCTTTTCTTTGAAAAAGGATTCCATTATAGGTGATGGGCATTGAAGTTGTCTAAAAGGATGATTTCTTGTATAATAGAAATATTATACAAGCACCTTTTGATTATAAAACCTTTTTCTTTAATTTGATTAGCTTCGTTATATATATTAATGATTTGAAAGGTTTTGTTTCCATTTTGATAATTGAAAATCTATATATCAGAATCTATTGGAGAATCGAAAGCTAGATTGATTATAGCTTAAAGAGTTTTTGATATATATAGTAATGTATATAACCAGTAATTAGGATTAAGTCTTAATAATATTTGTATAAAATTGGAATATATAATAAATCTTGAATTTGAATAATCGATTTCGTTTTTAATAATTCAAGGTTCTTGAATTATGATAAGGTCGATATTAAGTTCTATTGCAAACTGTAGAATGTTCTCTATAGCTTGTAAATTCTGATTAAGATTTATTTGAAGGATTCGAATATTAGTATGACTTATTAATGAATAGTATTCGATTTTTGTTAAATAGCCTGATAGATTTCGTATATTTTCGAATTTGCTGTATAATTCCCTTAGCAATTCGAGTATTTTATTTCTAAATATTGATAGAACTTTCCTTTGATATTATATATTATACATAAATATATTGATGTAATATGCTTGTCTTTATATAATCCACAGAAAGGGTTCCTTTTACAATGAGTATTCTGATGCCCAAATCCTTGACATTTCTGACATTGTATAATTGGTTTTGATTCGTAGAATTGTTCTACTCTTATACTATTTCTAGCAATATATAATCGCTTTTGAATAGCTAATTCTACTTCTGATTTTGTAGCAAAAACAATAACGATAGCACCCTCTCATTGATAAACTCTTCTGAAGACAAATATAAGCCAAAAGGGGGTTTCTATAGGCTTGAAGTCTGGATTGAAGGTTTTGATTTTGTTGAGTATAAGATCCATTCCTTTTATATCTGAGAATTCTTTAATTGGGATTTTGTAAATAATAACTTTATACTATTCTTGATCCTTTTGGATTCTTTTGAATTTGATAATATTACTTCAAATCGCTTTTTTCTCTAATAAGAATTGTAATATAAAAGGATTATTTATTATAATAATAATATTATTATTGAAGAATATAATTACTGCTATAATAACTAGCCCTTTAATTCCGATCTTTTGAAAGACTTCATTTATTTTGTTTTGGATAATTAAAGAGGAAAAGGAGATAGGGTTGGAAAATCTGGCTTGATTAAGATAATTCGTTTTTGAATAAAGTTAGATTTCTTTTCTACATTAGTAGATATAATGTTTTTCCCTTTAAGAACTAAATTCCATTCTCCTTTTTTTGAAATATCAGTATATATTGATTTCAATATAGTAGTAATAATAGTAATAGGCAAAAAAGGTTTAGCTAATACTTTTGCTTGTAATTCGATTTTGCATATAGCAATTTCCAAATAGGTGATTTGAAAGGTAATGATATTCGAAGCTGTAATAAGCTTCCTCTTTTCAGTATATTCTTTAAAGATCTTTAGGAGATTTAAGAGCTTGGATTGTTCTTCGCATAATTGAAAAAGAGAAGAAGCTAGCATTATAAAGTTCTAACTTTCAAATAACTTCTTTAGATATATTTAGATTGTTTTGGATTCTAGATTGTTTGTTCTGATTGCTAAAGAGTATTATAGAGCCCCGTTTTTATTCTAATTGAATATATAGATAGTATTAATTATATCTTGAATAATAAAAGGATCACTAAATAGATTGAACTCTTCAAATCTTTTTCCAATACTGACTAGCTGATTAGTTGATAGAATAGGGCTAAGAGATTTCGAATTGAGGATTTTCAGAAGGCAGAAAAGAGCTTAAAGGTATTAGAATATCTAGAACAATAATAGAATAAGTAATTAATATAATAGAGACTTCAGAAAAAGCCTTCATTATAGCCATATCCCTAAGTATTGATGGATTGTTAAGAGAACTTATATTAAGGATTTTATTCTTATTCTAGTAATTTGGAGTAAGAAATTTTACACGAATTTTCGTGTATATTTCGTGTTCGGAATGCTGACGATAATAGTACAACATTACTGGTTAGAATCACTAGGGGGCAATTGCAATCAATTTGGGTTAATAACTATGATCTAAATCGATTGCAAACGGGTTGTATTTCGAAGAAAAAGTTTCCTTCGAAATTTGTTGTGTTGTATATGAGTATGTGCTATGGCTGGTTATACGATGATATGAAACGAAAAGACAGAGATTGTAAATCAATTCCAACAACGTCTATTTTTAATGATATAGAGGGAGATGCAAGAACAACTGCAGCGATTGTGTAAGCAGGGTCTAGACTGTATTCCGGCAATCAACAACTTTCAATGTTTGCGTCCAATTCCAATGTTCAGATCGAACGAAACACCAAATGCATTCTGACATTGAGATACGATAGTTGTTGAACGTAGGGGGCAACAACGTGACCAGCAACCTTTGATGCCAACTTTCATTACCACACTTGGGTATCTGTATGCTTATAGCGATGAGCAATTGGGGCAGAGATTGGTTTCTTATTATGGTGTCTGCAAATCCAATAAATATTACCTATGCTTTACGCTGATGATATCAGCCTGGGCAGCGGCTGCAACTTTACGGCAGATCAACTTCATACACATGGCATTCAAATCGAAATCCATAAGTAACTTATTTGAGAAGTGTACAAGTCTGCATGCCATGGTTGTTGTAGATGCAGACTCCAGACTCCATTGCTCTAATCACGCGAACCTCATTTATTATCTAACTGGGGATGCGCATTCGAAATTTTCTACAGCCAAATATGTACTGCGAGCTTCAGCTTCATTGTGGTTTTAGACTTTGTAGCTGGACTACTAGTAGGTTCGTAAGGAGTAAATTGAGTAGAATGAATGAAGTTGTACAATTCTTCTGAGCAGTTCAGTTGAAGATGATTTACTTGAGCACAATGTCCATTTGGTACCTACCTAGTAATAAGTATCTAGGTATGCACATTAGGTACTCCGTACAGTGCAAGTTGCAACTTCCTCACTACACAAAAATCCGCAGTGGATCATTTCTAATGGAGAAATTGACCTGAGGTTGACCAGAGGTTGTTGACAGAAAGAATTCTATTTTGTTGCCTACGAAGTAGTCAGTACGTGCATCATACATATACGGCAGAATGGGCGGTCAAAGCTGTTTGTCATATTTGTTTCTTCGTCAAACATGTTTGCACCAACTGGCCCCTTCCTTAGTGTGCACAGGCCACTATCCAACATCTATATAAACATCTTCTCGCTCCCGAATTCCTAATTTCTTTTCTCCTTAGCTCTCTTTGCCTATTGGTAAGTTATTCCCTACTTTTTACTTTCTTCTTCATCTTCTTGAGTCTTTTGCTAACAAGACTTTCTCTCTACAGGCTTAGATCAAGTGTAGTATCTGTTCTTTTCAGTTTAATCTCTGAAAGATCGTCATAGACGGTCACATTGATTATACTTATTTTTGTCCCTCGGGATTGGTCCGCTGTGCTTGCGCATGATCATTCCCACAGTTTCCCTGGTATTACACTGCCTCCAGGTGAAGCGAACAACTTTTCATTACAGATTTGGGCTTGCCCGGATTGTGAAGAAGAGTCTTTGGTGATTTTGTTTTTTGTTGTGTTGGGAAGTGGCTTGGAAGTCTTTGGATAGGATGCTTTCTATTGAGTGTCGCGGCAATGAAACGATTAATAGGTAGGTACGCGCTGCTCATCACTGGTGTGGGTGTAGATGCTGTTCTCCAAACTGGCATGAGTTGTATCTTGTAGCTGTAGTTGCATGTGAAATCTAATATCATCACGAATCACGATAAATCCCACTTTGAACCTTTCCATCTCCATGCGTTGCATTCAAAACCGCATGCGCGATATTGATGCCATGACGCGTTGTGAAATTGAGATGTACTATTCGTATTGATGGTAAAATATTTTGCTTGTGTGACGTGAAATTTATTCTTCAAAGCTCAACCTTTGAGCAAATCTACAAAGTAAACACCCCCACCACATTACCCCTCCAATTACCTTCAAGTAAAATGTCGGATCTCAATGGAATGGTTGACCCAAAGATCTTTGAAGATCTACAAACTAAGATTGATGAAGATGCGGAAGTAAGAGATCAACTGAAAGCTATTCTACAAACACTGGAGAGGCAATGCAGAAATGCTCAGTCGGTTTTATCTCGAGCTCATTCCACACCAGCTTCTCACTGTAAGTCTCCTAAGGCTAGCTGTCTTAGAGACCGCCATCTAACATTTCATAGTGCAGCCTGTTCTTGTCTCTGCAGAGAATGCTATAAAGGAAGAAGCTGAAAGTATTCAAAAGCTTGCGGGCATTGCTTCAAACCATCCATATTACAAGTATGCGCTGTGGATTCTACGATGAAATGCCTCACTAATAAGAATAGATATAATGGCATTTGGACAAGAGATGTGCAGAATGTGATCTTTGCCATTCTTCTCTGCGGATGGCTGGGGGGTTTGAACAAAGATGGAAAGCCTGCTCAATCAGGAAGACTTCTCACTATTGAGGAAGTAGGAGAGATTCTCCAAGGTACTTTGCACACAGATTCTCTGCGAAAAGCACAGCTAACGAGATAATAGTCCCCGTCAACCTCAAAGACCGAGACGCATTCCACATCAGTATCGAAGAATACCTCCTCTCCCTCATTTCCTTGATCGAAGAGCTTTCACGACTGGCTATCAATTCCGTTACTCTCGGAGATTACCAGAGACCTCTACAAATCAGTCAATTCGTCAAGGATTTACATGCAGGATTCCAGATTCTTAATTTGAAGAATGATGTTCTGAGGAGAAGAAGTGATGGTATCAAGTACAATGTGAAGAAGATTGAGGATATTGTGTATGATCTTTCGTTGAGAAATTTGGTAGCTAGACCTGAATCTTCATCTTGAGTGATGGATGATCGGTTGGAATGTTGCTTGGATGTTTTCTCGATATCATAAGAAGAAGGCAGATCTGAAGATTTTTGCTACTAAGAAGTTGCTATACATGGACTGGATCTTGAGAGTAGGAAGAAGGACTGAAAGATTACTTCGAAGGTTCTGCAATGTCATGAGAAGGGAAGGAGCTGGGTAGATTACTGCTATTACGAATGTTACGAGCTGTGGCAAAAAGCAAAAGGTTGCTTGAGTATTGCAGCATTGGCTCCAAAGCCTTACAAAATGGCCCGAATAAATCATGAATATTCTCAAATTACAATATCTTCAAGCTACCTACGTAGTACTTTATGATGCATTTTAATTCCAATATCAAACTTCTTCGGCACCCCACCGAAAAATGCCGACGCTAGTGACGGAGCTCTAAAACACGAAGCTCGTAATCCCCAAAATAAATTACATCTCGAAATTGACAACACCAGAAATGCCATTGATCGATCCCGTCACCATGTCCGGAATCAGCCCAGTATCTGGAGATACCTCCAGATCCAAATCATTTCCTATAGAGTTCCTCTCTTCCGATATGGCTCGGATCGTCACGCACATCCAGCCAGCTATCCTTTTATCTGCATATTATTTCCGATTCAATGCTTTGGTCGCAGACCCGGTACACACCTTATTACACTCGTTGTTGCCTGTCGCATTTTTGCAGGTAGCCTATGCAGTTGTATGTTTACCAGCTGCTGGATCAAACATGGCGAAGAAATTGAAGCCGGGCGAGAAGCGGAAGGGATTGGAGGGCGGAGAGTATAATCATAAAATATTTGTACGTCTTTCCTTTTGGATATTGCCTGCAAGCGATATTATTATACAATTACTGATATTTTTGCCTAATAGACAACCATATTTGCCCTCATTCTAACCGGCACAACCGTCCCTGCCGTCACAGCCCTTCAAATCCTCTTTGGCGCTCCCTTCACCACCCACATCGAACATACACTTCTTTCTTCCGCTCACATCTCGCTTCTAGCACTCTTCCCCCTCTTCTATATCCATGGTGTGGATTCAGTTCGATGGCTCGAAGTAGCATCATTGTATGCGCCAATTGATGAAGTTTTCGGTGCGGCATTAGGATGTGCGCTTGGTGCTTGGTTGGGTGCAGTACCTATTCCTTTGGATTGGGATAGGGAATGGCAGAAATGGCCTGTTACTGTTGTTACGGGAGCATTTGGGGGGTATGTAGTTGGTAAGTTCGTTGGAGGGTTCGCGGGGTTGAGGGGAAAGAGAATTGAGTTGGAGTAGAGGGTGAGGGTGAGGGTGAGGGGAAGAGGTAGGGGTAATAGGAAGGTGTATTATATAATACAAGGGGCGGCGCTTGGGATATGATGATGATGGATGGAGAGGTTTAGGATATTTTCCGCAATTACATGGGCGCATGGAAAAGAAATGGAAGAAAATACAATTTAGATGCTCTGAATAGGAAATCTGGCTTGATCTGGCACGAGAATTTGATTTGGGTATTTGGTTGCTGGATACGGTTTGAGGGGTCCATATCTACCATCAATGCTGAGTAGACCGTTACACCTTGCAATGGTTAGTGAAGCACTCAGACCTAGGGAATTTTTGCTCTTTGCACTGGTCTAGTTCATACACTATTGATCATTATCTTAAACTACTCACGCGTCCATCTGAATGTCGTTTCTGTATCATAGTATCTAAATTTCACGCATCACCCATTTCTCATTGTAACTAGCCCTGTTGCGCTTATCATACCTTGTCCCTGCCATTTTTCTTGGCATATTCAGTGCTGTTACATTGCATATAGTATCGCGGGATAAGTTATTCAAGAGTCGGGTAAAGCGGAAATTCATGTGTGTTAAGCTTCTGCCTGGTATTGTGAACTTAGACTTGTGAATGGCATTGCTTGGCTTGGGCTTGGACCTGGGCTTGGGGTGAGGAGGGAAGGGAACCTTATTTGAGGTGCGATGGCAAGACGTTCGGAAAGGGCTACGAATTCCTCACATCTGGGTCTTCATTCTGTAGGGGAAAAAGTCCTGATTGCAACACTGGGGGATAATCAATATAGTAGAGTTGTGAAGATACGCATGATTTCTTTTTCTACTTGATTGACACCATCTACCTCAACATCTCGTCATCTTCTACGCGACACTGCATTTCAATCCGAGTCCTGCATGGGAAGCGGAACGGGGAAGGAAAGGCCTAGCAAGAAGGAGATTCTCCGTCATGATGATCCCGTTGAGGGCTGGGCGGGTGGCTTTTCTTGGACGAAGAGTTCGGTTAGGTGATGATGGTTGTGGAGCCCAAAATTGTGAATTGGTGAAGTACGCCAAGGGAGTGGCGGGCTTGTTGATGAGGGGTAGAGCTGGGCTCGTCGTGGAAGGCCACTTATTGAGAGGCTTGGAGTTGGGGATGGATGAGATGATTTTGGATGAGATTGATTAGGTAGTGAACTGGTAAAGGGGGAGGGAAAAGGTGCATGGGTATTGCTGTGAAGGGAGCCGACGGGGGGTAGACTAGTCGGGGGGAAGTGATTGTCGTTTCATTCTTTGGACGATTCATTATGAGAAGAGCGTTGTAGAGTGACGTGGTTGATTGAAAGGATTTGAGCTTGAGGTTGTTTGATATCAGGTATACTAGATTATCGTGTTTTGGGAGTAGAGATGCTGGATGAGCTTGGATGAGGAGGATGGGATGATTGGATGCATAATGAGATGTATCAGTAGGAGAATTTAATGGTAGCTGATCGATATAGACGGCGTTGAATACCTTCTACCTGCGAGGGCTCGTCGAAGATGATGAACGGCGGAGAGTCGATCAATCGTCCCTGTCTGGAGTGGAGGAATAGGAACATATCATTTCACCGCCTTCTGGCAGAACAATTAATATTTTGGCGGCAGGAACACCTTAATGATGGAAAATGCAATACTATAACAAACAAACAAGCACTAAACCATTGTCCTTCATTGTTTCAGAAATCGAATGAAAGACATTCAAGGAAATTGATATCAGTTAACTTCACCACTACGTTAAATACACATCTGGCGAAAATGCTTTTTGCTCCTCTTCCTCTTTCTTCCTTACCTGCCTGGTGCAAGTTGAACAATGTAGATTTCCTCGATACTGTTGTTTCCTCATCTAAGATATGTCTACAAGGAGAAAATACCAGCCTCCCAAATGGTATTATCACTACGAAAACGTTGAGCTCAGTGGATGCGCATGATCTGCCCACATTACTCGACATCCCCAGTGACCTTATCCTAGGTGGAGATTTTCTGTTAGAGATGGAGAGGGTAGATTTTCATTTCAAACAGTTGAGAGAAGAAGTTGGGGGAAAGTCGATTAGAGAAGATGCGAAGTTATTCTTATTGCTACAGATGACTATCGCAAGAAATAATACGAATGTGCAGCCAGAAATTGCCCTCAACATCGGGGTGAACAATCCGTGGTCAGAGTATATACGATTCTTACCAGAGAAGATTCCAGTTCCAACAATGTGGACTGAAGAAGAGAAAACTCTTTTGAGTGGAACGTCTCTAGAAGTATGATAAACGTGAACAACGATTGCCACTGTGGGACTTGCTAATTGTTTTCTTAGAATTCTCTTGCTAACAAAATGGTCGCGTTATCACGAGATTTCGAAAATCTGCGTGAGAAGACCATACAAATACCGTGGTGTCACTCGTGTTGGTGGAAAGAAGATGGTCCATTACAACCGTTACTACTGTCAGACTGGATACTAGTCGATGCTTGGTACAGATCAAGAAGTCTAGAAATAGAAAATGGTGAAGAAGTGATGGTGCCTGTTCTTGACATGGTTAATCACTCGTTCACACCCAATGCACATTGGGAACACACGTCGAATGGCAATGCCTTACTTGTCCTTGTACCAGATATACTCTTGGATGAAGGAAGTGAAATAACCATTAGTTATGGAGTTAAGAGTGATGCCGAGAATCTCTTCAATTATGGTTTCATCGATGCAGAAGCCCCCTTGACATCATTGATTTTGGAGGTGGAGCCAATAGCAACTGACCCTTTGCGTGTAGCGAAGGTTGCTGCATTTGGAAAACGTCCATCCGTTCGTATCTTCGGCCATTCGAACGGAGAAACTTCATGGGATTGTCCATTTGTTTACTTTGCGTGTTTGAACGAAGAAGACGGCTTGGAGTTCAAAACCGTGCAAAAAGTCGATGGCTCTCAATCATTGAAAGTTTTCTGGCAAGATGTAGACGTCACAGAATCTACCGATCAATTTGAGAGATTAATCAGTGGTCACGAACGCGAGGATATTCTCAAGTTTCGAGCGTTGAATTTGATGCGAGATAGGATTGAATTGCAACTAGAGCGTCTTCAAGCAAGCGAAGAAATAGTGGAAATATTATTGGATGGGGAGATGGTCGACCCCAATACTCAAGCTAATGCATTGGAGTTGAGACAGATAGAGACTGACGTGTTAGGGGTGGCTTATGGGGCTATCAATGAAGAGGTCTGTTGTGTTTGTGAATTTTTTCTTCTAGATATGCTAATAGTGCTCATAGATATCGAATCTTTCGAAAGTCTCAAGTATTTCTAAACTTCTGACATCAGTGCAAGTTGATGCGAAAAATGATGATCCCAGCGCAGAAAGTAACGAAGAGGACGACTTTAGTTGAGAAAGTTACACATTGTCTCAACTACAGTTCTCCCGTATGCTTAGAGAGATATCCTGGAAGGGCCCGTGAATTCGCCAAACGATATAAGATAGAGACATCTTTTATTGGATAGAAATACAATTAGTTATCACTAGCCTTTCGGAGCGACATACGTTTATGCGCGAAGGATGAATATACAATTATAGTTCGGATTCTGGATAATGTCCGGAGGGGTCAAGCATTCGTATCAAATGTGTATACTAGCAGTAAAATGCGGTAAATACACCGCATTTTTGTACCAATTATCAGAGAAGAAATCCAGAACCTCGATTTCGGGGAGCACTAGTTGACCTATGATTTGAATACTAGTGAGATTAGTGGGATTTGAGGCGCAATCAATTCCGTTTATCGCCGAACAAAACTAACATTAGCACGAGTCAAGGCGTCGGCAATCATTACGAGAGTATTTGTTTAATGCTCGACCAAGAGATACATGCGGACATCTATAGTTGTTGGATCAAGACGGCATCTGTAAAGCGTATAAGATAAGCGTGCGTGTGCGACTATTTCCTCTGTACCTCCTTGCTAGCCTGCCAATCTGCCAATTGTTCAACAACTAAAAGCTAGTACCATTAATGATGTTCCCAAGGGTTTGGGCATTGCTGGTCTTTTCTTACTAGCCAAGTTCAAATACAAATGAAGGGTCAACAAC